CCTGAAATGTTTTAAATGGCAAGCATACAAATATTAAGGTAAAGTATTATTCTGATGTTCTTGTGGATCTGAAATTGTTTAACTTATGCCTATTAGTTTTCAAATCATATAGACCAACTGGTTCGATCTATAAAGAGCATTTACTGAGAGAAAAGTTATCCATCAAAAACAGAAATTTTTTTCATTTACAGATAAAAAAAGAAAAACAGATAAGTTGCGAAACTTTTCAAGTATTGCTTCATAAAGTTGTTAAAGTAGTTTAGGTCATTCTGAAGAGATGATATTGCATCAGTTATGGAACTTGAAATTAGTGTAAACTGTTTTCATAATAAATAGGTGAAGTCAGTGAATAATCTCTTATAAAACTAAGATGAGAAAGACAACTATACAGCAAGCACATAATACCGAAATGACAGACTGTTTAAAGATAGCAAAACTATTACAAGAATTAAGATAATAAAGAAGGGAGAACAAGTAGTCCACTAAAGTTTCTCACCTAAATGTGCTCGGTAGTGTTTGATAAACTCTAGTCCGACACCATCAGCTTTTCTCCAGAATTTAAAATGACCATCATTGCTACAAGTCATCAAATAGTGAGTTCTGAAATTTAAAAATTAAGTAAGAAAATAACCAAGTAATGATATGGGTGAAAATGCTGATCACTGGGAACTAGAAGCTATAAAAAGAACGATTTTTAGAAATGTTTCTTCGCTGAATCGTCCATCTCCTCCTTCAATAGTGCAGTGAGTCTGTGTCATTAGAAGTAGAAGCCAACTAAAAAACATTCATGGAAAAAAACCTATTAGGTAGTATGAATTTCACTGACCACGAGGAAAGTTATTAAGTTTGGTTGTGTATGAAGTTAGGAGCCCGAATTCCTGAGTAGTTATAAACTAGGATGAAATTGTCGTCTGGTGCTACCCAATTGTTCATATTGCTGTGACTTACGTCAGTCTGTAAAGTAAACTCTCTTCAAATTGAGCACACTTTTATTGAGATTATAGCTTAGTTGTGAAGAAGTTGAATACGTTTCGTCAGGGAGATAAAACTAAGGTTGATAAACCAATTATATAGTAGTGTAGTTATCCTCAACATTATTGGAATTATAAATCTACTTACTTCGAATAGGCAACATGTGTAATCACATTTCTATGCATATAGCTTATTTCATAGTATTGAGCCGTTGGAATATTTCGTAGGTAAATTGCTTCATCTTTAAGTACTGAAATACAAAAAGTGAAGTGAAATGTTTCTCACTAGGTACAATATTGTCGGAAAGACCCTCAATAGAATTAAAAACAAACTTTTCGAACACAGAAAGGAAAAATAAACACCCCTTACAACTACATCTGTTTGGCGTTTTAGAATGCGTAATGGGGTAGAAACAGAAATTAGAAATCCACGTAAAGTCATGAAAGATAGAGCTATTCATTAAATGGAAAATAAAGTTTGGCTACAAAGCACAATTATGGTCGATTTTAAGCTGTGTAATCTAATCATAAGTATAAGAGCTTTAGGACTACACCCTAAACGCTTACCAAACACTTCATAACCTCCTATTCCTGGCAAACACTAACTTTAAGCATAATGGAAAAGAATCTTTTGACCTGGCGACCCCCAAAGTCGTCACAACAATGGGCCCAACTAGATCACATTGCCATGAGCCACCGATGGAGAGGTTCAGTAGAGGACTGTCGCTCGTTCTGGGGCACATGTTTAGATCCAGATCATGCCCTAGTGCGAGCACGTATTTGTTTGAGGCTTACTGGACGTAGGAAAGACACCGCGAGGATACCTCTTAGAGTTCTACTTAATGATAATAAAGCTAAGAATATATTTCAGGAAACAGTTAGGCGACTATGTAAGCGATTCCCATCGGGAGGCAGGTAGGAAAGATATCTGAAAAGCTGGGGAAACAGCAGTGATATCTACTAGCAAGGCGAACCATATGTCTAGGAAGAAGGCGTGGATCTCAGTAGCATCTACCGAACTGATGGATGCTCGAAAACTTATCCCACCTGGCTCTGAGTACGATGAGGAGCGGAGTCAGCTTAGGCGCAGGCTGATAAAAAGCCTACGCAATGATCGAGAACAGTGGTGAGTAGTGAAAGTGAGAGAGATGGAAAAGGCAGCGGTGATGGGCAAAAGTAGGCAACTATTCAGACTTATCAAGGAAACTGGTTTTAGGAACCCTAATGTGAGTGAGACTATTTCGGAAAAAGATGGCCGCATCATTCATTCTCAATCCACGAGATTGGATTGATGGACTGAACACTGTAGGGACCTGTTCAACTGAACTTCAGCCACACTTCGGTCACCCACGATCTCCAGTCATCCTGAATGGCAAATAGACGAAAGTCCCCCGACTCTTTATGGAGTTGAGAGAGAGATAGGTAATCTGAAGCGAGGGCCAGCAGCGGCTCCTGATGGATTGACCCCTGAGATATTTAAGGATGGTGACCCAGTCACAGTAGATATTCGCAGGTTACTGGTTTTCAATCATAGGTGTCTTCGAAAAATTGCTCGTATATCCTGGGACTACCGAGTGAGCAACGCTGTTATTAAGAAACGGGTGCTAGGTAAGGATGGCAGATCAATAGATGAAGTATTGAAACTTCATCAGTTGAGGTGGTTGGGACATGTGTTACGAATGCCCAACCACCGACTGAATCGACGAGCTATATTTTGCGCTGTTAGAATAGGTTGGGAGAAAGCTAGGGGAGGCCAAACCAAAACATGGCACAAATCCATGAAGTCACTTACTAGTGGACTGAGTCATGTTGGTAGATGTAGGCGACCTGGTCGGGGTCCGCGAGACGTAAGTCACCGATAGTTAGAGACCTTGAACGACATGACTCAAAATCGTTTGCAATGGCGCAGGTGCATCCACTCTTTATGTTCTCTTGAACCTTAATCTTCTGGATTTGTCAGCACCTCTACCTTTGTCTTTCTAAACTTATCTCACTGAATTATACTTGAAAATTATCTTCAAATCCTAATCTTCTCTGTTACTGCTAATTCTTCTACTACCTCTACAACTGTTGGATTTGAGTTGACAATTGCGTCTGTATTAATGTGGTATGGCAACATGAACTGATGTACTTACTTACGAAGTTCTACGTTGTGACTGGTTGATTGATTGACTAAACACTTCGAGTCGCATTAACAGTAGCAGACCTCGTTAACTGACATTAAGGCTTCCTTTGACCACCCTCAGCAGACTACACACTCACAATCGCTTTAATAGATTGTATAATATAGGCGTGAATCTCATGATTAGAGTATTACACAAAGTATGATGTGTTGATTTATGTGATGATGAGTATTGTTTAGTAAGGGAACTTCTAATCTATCGGTTTAAATAAGGCATAAATCAGAATATTTGAGGTCCATAATGGATGAAATAATTGAAATATAGTGGCAAACAAAACGACCGACCTTTACGTTTCTTTTTAGGAACTTGGACAGTATCATCGTTTTCACAAGCATCTTCCTGAGACTGTATCATTTCAGTTGGTAAAGGACCAACTGTATCATCACCACGTCCATTTTCATCATTATTGTCGATTTCGTTTGAACATTCAGTTGGCAAAGGACCGATGTTATCGTCAATTTCAGACATGGTATGTGAACGAAGCAACGTTCTGGGGATTTTATCACACAAAAGATGAAAATATGAAAGACCTAGAATAGTGAATAGTCATAACTTGCAACACATAAACAATATAAAACTAGAACTCGAACATGAGTATTCGATACGACAACAAAAAAGAAAAATATAGGTAAAATTTCTGATGATTATCTATCGAAAATTGTTTATTTTCAGGAGAGTCATCTTCACTATTAACAATACGATGGAGTATGCACTTGCTTTTATTGTCCTAAAAGTTTGCTAATAGTAGGACCCAAACCCTACGTAATGAATGAATGAACGATTTACTGAAACTACCTTCATTTTAACCGAAATCGAAAGATAACATAAAGCTTTTCGAAAAATGTTTAGCTTCCGCTAACTGTGAGAAAATGCAGAGACTTTCAAAAGGCTGTAAACCAATTTAAAGCCGTGGAAATCCGAAATCCCAACTCATAAGCCTGACACTTTTAGGCAAATTTTTGAGATCTCTATGTAATACTGCCTTCCAACTCGTTTCAGTTAACTAACCTTGAGGTTGCTTACCAATTTGTTTATTCCGCCTTCTTTTTCTAGGTGCAAATGTTGCATCATATACAGATAACGTGGTAAGCATTTTTAGCTTTTTTTCTAGATACGAATATGTGTTATATCTTCACCTACAGCGTCTAAAGTTGTTAAAGTTGACTAAATTTCCTCTTTGATGCTGTCTGTGATAAATTGTACTTAGTAGACATGCATGCTTGTATTTAGTGTTAAGTATGATCGTTTTCAGATTGTTCAAGTAAATATCTATTGGAAATGACAAAAAAGTTCACCATTTTTATCCGAATGATAGTACAAAATATAAAAAACCAGGATTAGTAAGGAAATATTTAGAATCAAGTTTAAGACTACTAATTTTATTACGTAGTAACTCATCCACGTGTGTGTAATATGGCTAAAGGGCTCCGAAATTAGGAATCCTCAATAAATGGTTGTCCATTTCTAAAATAAAATTCAAGCGAATGGCTGGCAGTCACTACTGGTAATAATGACTGTTGGTGGATGTCCATTAACTAAATGGATTTGCACTACAAAACACTTGATACACTCTGCTGCATTTTCTTGCACTTGCCAATTTACCCCAGTGATATATTGAAGTGATAAACTGTAAATAAATTTTACGGCAAATTTTGGAAGTTCAGACAAAGCATTTCAGCAAAGACAATGACGATGCCGCAGGATGATCTCAGAATTTAACTGACCACCATCTGTTATTGTCAGTATTCGCTTTTTAATAGGTCTAGGATTTAATACTTTTTCTCAGAGTATGAACTTGTCTGTTTATAGCTGGACTTGGAATTCGTGTGGTATCAATCTGCTGGTTTTCCATTTTGGAACTCAAGAAAAAAATTCGTCACGAAACTTATTTTAATTTTCTTAAGAATAATACAGGTGGGCTGAAAAATCTCTACCTGCGAACAGATTTTTGATACCCAAATTAGGGTTTGGTTTACTCGTCGCATTTTGCGAGTGTATCAAGTAACTGTGTTTCATGAACAGACCAGAGAAGAATTTATACGAAACAGTGTATGTGGTCAAAAACTGATAGGTGGCTGTACAATTAAGTATTTTATTATGTATGTATTTCGGAAATAACCTTTCAGCAAAATCGATGTGGATACAGTAGACAATGTATCTTATTGTCACCCTTCCCCCGAAACGTCCCTACTGAAGGAAAGTTTCTCGAAATTAAAACTTATGCCTCTTCGAAATGTCTGCTTAACACATAGGTAAACAACGGATGTCTACTCTCCCGACACATTACTACCTAAAATAGTCAACTTTTCTCCAAACTTAGCAGACTAGTACTATTATGCTTTTTAGATTCCCTAAAGAGTTGAAATCCACCGAGTAATTCATTTGTTTTGATTTTGTTGAGCAGATCCCGAACAACCTGTTTATTATATAGTATGCTGTACAAGAACCAGATGCTGGTGGGGACGCGACACATTGCACTAAAGACTTTTAAGCTTTCCCTTTTTAAATGTGACTGGGACGAAATTGACTATAATCACCACTAAATACTAATAACTATCCCGTCACAATAAATACAAATAAATCTAGGGTAAAGAGTATATTTGAAGGAGAAAAGGGCAATACAGTGAGCAGCAAGTTCTGAAGGATGACAGCAACGCAAAAAAGAACGTGCCGCGTAAGTAGGTGTTTTCAGTACAGTTAATTAAAGCGAGTACAATGTTAAGTGTTTATTTTTCACCAATCGTGTTTTATTCGTAGAAGTGTTTCACTGCACCTGTATAATAATGTATGAAGAATAGGAGCTGCTGACAATCGTTTTTTACATCTTTTACAACATGCATTTCAAACCGCTTGAAAAAATTCCAGCACTTGGCTGATTGATCATAAGAACTATATAGTTCCGTCTTCAGAAGCTCAAGACCCATTCTAAGAAATGACAGGGTTATTTTTCTTAATTTTCTCTTTGAACAATCCAATTTTTTCGATTTGTCAGATTTGGCTTACTTAGATAGTCAAAATGAGAATGGATAACTAAATGGCGATTATATTACTGGCGTTCACCACGATCAGAAGTAGAACCTGTAGGGAAGAAATTTTTGCAGAAGCTATTCTAGGCCAACTCCTAGACTGGTAAAACATTCGTAGCTAGGTCAAATTCAGAACAAGTAAGCGACTGTTCATGATTATTTTTATACGTTTTTAAAATATAAATTAAAACCAATGATGTGCAAAAGCAGAAATTAAAACAGTCTATCGGAGAGGAGAGGAAAGGAAGATACGTAAAAGGCTTGCTTGCAATTCATGTTACCTCTTTAGCGGTGACTGAGTCGAGATTGACTATGATCACTACTAAATGTTCCATACTATCCCGTCACATAAATCAAAATAAATCCGATGTTCGAATATTTATTGAAGGAGAAAGTAGGCATTACATAGAGAGCAGCACGTTATGAAAAATGGCAGCAACGTGAAAAGAACGTTGCATGCAAGAAAGTGTTTTTGATACAGTTAAACAAAAAGAGTACAATACTAAATGTTTATTTTTCACCAATCGCGTTTTCTTGGAAGAAGTGTTCCGCTACAGTAGCCCCCCCTTAAAAAGGGTTTACACTTTCGATACATAGCGGCTGCGTTCGGGAGTGGGTCGGTCGGCCGGAGGGCCGGAAACGACTAGAGCGACCAAGTTCGAGACCGTGCGTGTTTCAGGTAGTTCGGGAACCAGAACATCGACTGAGTGCCTTGAAAAGAGCACGGGTGATCAGGCCAGCTGTCGCCAAGATTGGATGAAGTCTACGGTACCAGCAGGGCGATGACCGTAGGCATGGGCTCAGGATAAAAAAGAAAGGAAAAAGAGAAAGGTGTAGCATACATGTAGTATGAGGATAGTGTCCTGTCGCGTATTCATTGTCGCCTCGGTGGTTACTCGAGGAAACGTACAGGTAGGCGTAGGCAGAGACCGGAACGCGAGACGTTAGTCCAGCCCTTGCCTCGTGAGCCAGCAAACTCGTCCGGAGTCAAGGGCGGCTCGGTCTGCTGATCTGTACGTGAGACCGGAGTCTCGTCCGTAGATAGGGCAGATGACGTGTGCTGTTGACTGGGACGTGTGAATGAGGTCTCTGGTACATCAAGCGTGGGACCAGAAGCAGAGATAAGGATCCCGCTAGTGAGTTGAACGAGTCCAGCATTAATTCTCGATATACCAGGTAGGACACTGTCATTGACGTATGCTGGTATCAGACGATCAATGCTGACCGTGTCCATCAACCTCGAAGGTCTTTTCGTGTCGAGAGATCACGTGAACAGATCCTTCGTAAGGTTGTTCAGTACCGAATCTACTAGTAAGAAAACTTGCGGACAGGTGAATGACTTTCGGGAGAGAGCGACCTGTCGATGTTATATTCGAGTTCACACCGGAGGCAGTATTCGCATCTACGCAGATAGTCGTTGGACGTTATCTGATATACCTAAAATCGCTGCTTCATGGTGTGAAAAAATTCGTTAGGCAGATGCAATGTCGTGCCGTATACAAGTTTGGACGCGGAACATTGGATATCTGCCGTTGCTGCTCCGTAATCGCCATGTCGTCTCCAACAAATGCCATCATTCTGCAAACGGAGTGGAGAAAGGAGTCTTAAGGACTGTGAGAAAGACGAAGTAATACATATAGCAAGTAAACTGTCAAACTCACGCTTAGCAAAAACTAATTTCTCCAGTGCCAGTCGGCGAGGTTTTGCCGTGAATGGGGGCCTGCAAGTGATGATGTGGCATACCACATAATTAATCATCAGTTGAATCTCCTAGGTTTCGTTACTTTGGGGAATTTATCAAATATAACATGAATAAATTGAGATGCAAAATATATATATTGGCGATTCGGTACATATCTGTTTGCGCGTTAAAAACCATGGATTTGATATTCGACGAAGTATCGATTAACGCAGCCTACGTGAATCAAATAGCAATTCATAGTTCTGTAAGGAATCGATACCGAGTACGGCTATGGGAACATCAGCAGGGATGGACGTCCTTGGGTACTGTCGTCGATTATTCAAGTTGATCGTTAGCTATCGTGTACCGTAGGTAAGAATGACAGAGCCATTCGCAGCGCGTGGTCGAAGAATCGTAGCTTGTGACTTGCTGCTACCAGACGATACGACAGAAACTTGGGCACTTGTGGACACCAAGTACCTAGTGTTAGTGAAAAAATCGTGCACGTAAAATAAACCAACAACCTGAAGTGACGGGGAGGAGACAGGTGAAAATGCAATGACCTGCACCTTGGAGTCTATTATTATAG